GAGGTGAAGGCTGCTATCTGAAAGCAAAAGTGCGTTCTGTAGGACCCTATGTGCAAGAAAGACAGGAAAAATAATCGGTGAGCACGGATGGACAGATAACGGGTAAACTTCAGAAACGTGCCACTGGAGTCATTTTTCTACTGCGCTAAACTTTGCATCCATTATGGGCTCTGCCCGTTAAAGGGATGAAGCATATGTTAACTTTTATTCAATTATTTAGAAATTCAGGTGAGTAAAAACATGAAGCTAATAGTTAAGAACATCTGTTAAAAGAATAACTTCAAGGACATTTCCTCAATTTAACCATCTGTTATGACCGTGTGGATTAATTATGGGAATATTTTGCTTATACAGTCATAGAAATTTATTCCGCTTTAAAAAATTTACTGCCAACAGCATGTCAATTCAGTGATCTTTATTGGACAGGCTGTCATGAAACATCAAAACTTTTAACTACTATTAAAAATATTTAAAAATCAGTATTTTTTCAGCATGCTTTACGTTTACAAATTTTACAAGTATGCTTGTATATATAAGTACTTGTTTACGGGGGGCTCATTTGAGAGGTGGCTTTTTTTTAAATCTAAGGTTGACCAGAAATTTCTCCAGAGTCTTCAGCAGTACTGCATCTCTGTTTTCAAATTGAGGAGTCAAATAAAAATGACCACAGTCACTTCTCCCTATATAACTAAAATGTAATAATTTTGTGGTAAGTATGTACTAGTCATCCCACATGAGAGACTGAAGTTTGTGAAAGATTAAACAATAGTATAAATTTTAACTAATGCACCAGACCGACATGGAAGATTAAAAAATACCCCGTAGCAAAAATCTACATATGCTCAAACTCACATAATCAGTGAATGTGTTTCTTCTAAAATCCATGTCTTAGAGTAGGAAATCAAGTCACAGTTATCCCTACACTTCAATAAAACTGGTTTTATCTTTTTAGCAAATATTTTTGACATGTAATAATTTACCCCAATTAACAGTTCAGTAATGATATAACAGAAGACACTAAAGCCAGATGTAAAGGTGAAACTAGAACACTAAAGCCCAAGTATAATTTTGCCTAATATGGGATTTTTCATATAGAGATCTACGAAAACTACCATTTCAGAGCAAATCAATTTTACCTTATATTTTGCATCTTTAAACAAGTAATTGGAAAAATAAATCATTTCAGCTATTTATAAATTTAGCAAACCTCCAAAGTCACTAGGATATCAAATCTTGTTCTTCAAAATAAAACAATTATTTCTGCAGGAAGACAAATGTCCACAAATGCACATCTCAAAACTAAAATCCAACCAGCTCCCTTGTTTTGGTAGGTTTATAAATGTAGTTTAAGAAAATACTCTTTACTGGTCTACTAAAAAGAAAAGGTAAACTTCTGAGCTTTCTAAAAGAAATCTCAAAGCAACTACATATTTGCTCTCTACCCTGGGTTCTTCTAGCAGATGACCATGTCACATGATAAAGATTAACTTACCAAGTACAAGTTGCCAAGTAGTAAATCTGTTTTACTACTCGTCAAGATTTATTTTCTGCACTTACAAATGTTTACCATTCTTGTTTTAAATACTTCAAATTAAAGAAAGAATTATATAGCAACAACCTACTAACGTGAACTTGGACCAGCCGTGAAGTTTGAGCGGAACATTTCCTGTGGCCTCCTGTTGGTAGTTTTTTGCCAGGCGTAGGACAAGTAACTGCTCACAGGATTATACTCACTGCTTTGTTGCTGTTGGAAATGTGTTTTATTTTCTTTATGAAATAATGGGTAATCTTTAAAATTGATTTTAGATGGTTTGAGGCATTACACCACAAAAATAATGAGCACTAATGCCAATGATATTGGACACAAATTCATTTTAGCTTTATTTCATGTCTAAAGCAATTCTACGGAGCCTTGAACTGCTCACACACTGTTATTAACTTGCTAGTAACCTAACACATGGGTACAGAAAACAAAAGTGATCAGAGTCCAGGTTGATCGGGACCTCAAGGCTACTGTCCTTTTTCTTGAACTATAATTCAATTTCCAATTTTACTGTACATTAGATTCATTATTTCCCTGTTTTCTTTTCTGTTTAATACTGCCACCTGGAGGACACACAGGTAAAAAAGAGAGGGAGCCGGCCCGCCCAGCTCCCAGTAGGGAAGAGGGCAAAGGATGAGGCTGGGAACATCTGAATACACACACAGGCCCAGAGGTCAAAAACAGTGTCTCAGCTGGGCATGGTTTTGGCTTTTAGAATTTTTTCTGTTCTGCTAGTTACACTACGCCACAAGCTTCATGGGTATGAGTTTTAAATTTAAAAATTTAAACGTGTTTTTCTTTTTTATTTTTTAATCAGATATTTCATAGGAAAATTCAAAATGCAAAATCTGGAGTGTATTCCAGTCCGATTTTATATTCTTTTGACTCGTATCCCATGGTTTACCATCTATCAGAGCGTCATGACTGTTGCCATCATATCAAATCCTATTTTTTCTGGAGTCATATTTGTGCCGCCTTTTCCACAAACAAATCTAATAGCAGAAAATCAACTTCAAACTTAATATAAAGAGTACTTTGTAAAACAGTCAATAAAATGTCATTGTTAGAAGCCTCCATAAAAATAAATGTATATGATTTTCAAGCCTTTTATAAAAGGAACCAAAAACAGCCGTTAGAATTTTAAAGGTATTTCTGAAAAGATATTTATGCCATGAGACAAGTTACTTCTTTTTCTGTCACAACTTTAAACAAAACAAAATCTGCTTTTTTCCTGAATTGGGCACAGTTGAAAATCTGCTTTTCTTCAAGGTGATATTATGAAGTGTATTCTACAGTGGTGCACTGTTAAGAACAATATATGGCTACACAAAAATCACTTCATCTTAACTAAGGATGTCCTGGGTCCACTGAACCCCATTAACGGTAACTCTATGCATCGACATAGTGTGGAAGGCTAGCGGTTTGACATAGAAAAAAATAACAGCCCTTTTACCTCTTACAATGAGAAAAAAAATTTTTTTAATGTAAAAACCTACAAATCTTCATTGAAGATATTCATGGTCTGTGCTGTGGTGCCCTCTATTGAACAGACACTTATTTAAAAAATCGTGTGTGTGTGTGTGTGTGTGTGTGTGTGTGTAAAACTAGCTCTCGTGCTTCCATGGTAGTCTTTTATAAAAAATAACAAAAAAAACCTCCCAAAACTATAAGAAATATAAAAACACAATGCAAAAGTCTAAACTATAGTGTAAATATACTTATATTAACAGGATGCATGCAGTAAAGCAAAGCTAGATATCAATTAAACCTAAAAAATCAGTAGGTAAATTTTTAGTCTATAATGCTCTTGTTCTACAACTACTATAAGTGACTTTCAATTTATAGTTAGAGAAAGGAGTACAAAAGAAGGTTATAGTCAAAATTGAGAAAAAAATGAATATACTTGAAAAATCTGCTGATCATACTGACTAAATTTTGCTAGAAGTAAAGAATTCTCCTAATTATAAACCTGCCAGTTCCTAGAATACAGTACTTCCACCTTTCTTATAATTTCCTAAAATATATAAAACTAAGATAATACCTAACTCCTAAAACCATTAAATATTAAGATATAACATGTGAAATACCAAACATGGAGCAAGTATTCAATAAATGGTATATTCTTATTTGGCATGTAGCCAAAGAAACAATTTTTCTAACTTCTCAAAGATCATCCTGAATGGGTACTTTGCTATTAATATGTATTATTTCACCGTGACCTGAAAATGTAAAAAGTGCATTTCACATTATATATCAATACACAAATATGCAAACAAACATTTGATTTCATGCAGTCTGAACATATACATAGGGCTTCAAGTTCACAACTTCAAAGCTTACATAAAAACTGGATTTTTAAAATACATGCTCAAAGTCTGTAACACAAGTATCCCTCACATCTAGTGCTGTGACTCCTGGAGGTCCTCTATAAATAAGATACAAGCTATTGATGAGTGACCAATGGAGCCTCCAAGGACGTCAAGCTGTGGTCAGGTACAGTGCTGAAGCCACATCACATCCGGTTTTCCCAAGTCAGCTCAGGAAGGGAAGAACGGGGCTCCAGGAGCAAAGACACAGAAGGCTGCTACTTCTACAAAAACTGGACAAAGCATGGGAGAGCTGTGCATTGGAATCTGAGGCACAAAGGAGGGGCCTCAGAGGTTAGGGCAGGGCTGAAGCCCACTACGTGGTATCAGACTCCTTGCATTCTTGAGGTTCAGATCATGGAGAGGCACCAGCTTTCATTTTTATTATGAAACTAATTCACAGACACATGTTCTCACACTGGTGAGGAATAACGTCACAAATTCACTTTGCGTGTATTTCTTGATTTGATTTCTAGGTCATAATCCAGATCCAGTTTTAATGAATCTAGCCATAGCCCTGATGTGTATATAACGCTTCCCCCATTAGAATGGAAGTCTCAGGGGGAGAAGGATTGGGTCCAGTCCTTGTAGTCCTATATCCCTGGCACACGGCCTGGCCTCAGTCACCACTCGGTGAGTTTCTGTTGAATAAAGGATCACCACAGGGGTTTCAGAGTGCGGTCTGAGCAGTCATCTGAACAACAACCACACAGTGAGGTCAGCACCACTGGAGATGTATTATCCCACTCCACAGAAATACAAAGCAATTAAGGGATTAAAAGGAATTAGGTGACTTTTCCAAGCTTGCGTAACAAGAAAAAAAATCAAGAGCCAAGATTTATGAGAGATCTAGAACCCAGCTCCTCACACTACTGAACTAGGACCCTTTCCACTATGACGTCAGCATCAAATACAGCTGCAAACAGCCAAACAAAGGACCAAAAGGAACCTGCACACGCATAATCCCACTATGCCCAAGGAGTTATTAGTTTTGATAGATCAACTGTGGATGAAAAGGTTGCATTCGAAACATCCCTGGTTAAAAACACATGCCCTGTTCCTAACTAGTGATATAAATGCATTCACATGCTGTGTTTTAACCTCAAAAGAGGAGGATTCTTTTGTTTTGTTTTGTTTTTTGTTTTGTTTTTGTTTTTTTTTCCGGTACCGGGAATCGAACTCACAACCTCGTGCTTGCCAGGCAGGTGCTGTGCCACTGAGCTAAATCCCCAGCCCCAAGAGGAGGATTCTGTACAAAGATGCACAGCTCCCCAATGCCGGCTGGGACCAGGGCATTCGCCACCCCTACCCAGGCCTCTCTGGAAGCAGCCAAGCCTAAGCTTCCCTGGGGCAGCATCTGGAGCGAGCACTGCTCTACAAACTTAGACTGCAGGGCCACATCCTAAGGGAGAGGCCATCCGCCACCTGGGCCTCATAGAGACAACAATTAAGTTTAGGGCCATCTCCACACGGAAAGGCAGAGAAAAGTTGACCAGAGAACCCCACTGTAATGTTTCTGGAGGACTTGACTGTACTAGGTCTCTAGGTTTTTCAGGTCTTTTCTCATATTTATTCCCCTGGCTTCTCTTCCTTTCCCTCCTTTCCCTCAATTTATATGCCTGGCTCTATTTGTCTGTGGCTATGACCCCTTCAAAGGAAAGGCAGTATGTCAGTGTAGTAGAAATAAATATTAATATTCATGGGCATACTTAATACTCAGAGTCTTTATGAGTGAGCCATATGGGGAGAGGCAGTATATTATTTCAGGCTTGCTCTAGGGTCCTATTTAGTGAACTTGAAAGGAGATGATTTCAGATCTTGAAGCCACTAGAGAAAGAATGACTGCCTAGGAGTCTCGGTCTTGCTACTCACCAAAAGTCACATAGCTCAGCCTATTTCCTTATCTATAAAAATAGGAAGTTAGAAAAATAAACTCAAAGTTATTTCATGTCTAAGTGCATTCAGATAATCATGATGTAGGGTTAGGGGTATAGCTCAGTGGTTAAGTGCTTATGAGGCCATGGACTGACCCCCAGCCCTGCAAAAATCAGAAACCGTCAACATTTAGACACCTTGTGCCAGACACATTATATTACTGTGAGTGCTCCATATCATTAAGCCCATTTAATCCTCTCAACCACCTTATGAGGAAGGTTCTACTATTTCCTCATGTTATAGATGGGAAAACACAAGCACAGAAGAGGTAAAAGACTTGCCCCAGTCCCCAGCCGGTAAGTGGCACAACCGGGACTTGAACCTAGGGAGCCAAGCTTCAGAGTCAGCGTGCAAGCCACTGTTTGACAGACCTCCTGTGGGACAGGCATTCTGGCTTCCAAAGAGGGAGACAAAGGGAAATCCTCATAGTGTGTATTCAAGTAGCTCTAATGGAAGTACGCTCCATCACTGAGCAATCCAGAGTTAAGCCACTGAGACTATTCAGATGCCACCGATACGCCTTTACATACACTCTCTCCGAAAGGAAGAATTAAGCTCTTCACTTGGAGGAGCCCAGAAGGGTATTATAAGCAGCCTGTTGTAAAGACGGTTTCAGTCTATCAATCCTAAATGCTGTAAATGAAGACAGTTTTTAAGAAGGGCCTTTGTCTAATAAGGCACATTTATTTCCTGATAAATTTTACTATCGTCAGCTGAACTCCCAAAGAATCTGTATCTGCTTTATATCTTAAGAGACCATATATCTCTCCCCCCACGAATCCACCCATCCCCGCTAAATTTTTCATTGTTTCTTTTCTAGAAAATCAGTCCCAAATATGTACCATATGATCTGAGCCACAAGATGGCACTCTAATACAGGAAATGAATTTCTGCAATTAGCTGACTATTAGGAGCCCAGAAGCAGTAAAATCCCCACCCCTGCTACAGAACCCTCAACTGTCACGGTGCTCCTTGGTCACATTTCAGGTCTGGTCACAGAGTTTCTTGCACTCACTTTCTGAGGAAATCTTCCAAACCCTGACGACGCTGATCAACGTGCTGGCGATTGTTCATGTTGAAAAATAGGTTTTTAGATGGAAGTTCTGGCAGTTGCCTTATGAAACAGAAAAAATAAATTTTTTTTAATTACCAAATCAAGGTGATTTAAAGAAGTCTGTAAGTGAAGGCAATTTACGCATGATAATAATTACTACACAGCTATTATAATTATTACACAAGGCATGTCGAAATCAATCAGTCTCTTAAAGAAAAAAACCCATGTTTAAATTTCTAGGGTCTTTCATGGTCAATGTCCCTCAGAGTTAGTGAAATTCAAGTGATAAATTTTAAATTAGATGCAGAAGCTACAAAGCTAACGGAAGCAATACCTTGCAATCGAGAAGTCAGTCTATAAAATCCCTCATACTGTATTTTTAAGGCATCAATTTTTAACTATTGATGGTCATAATAAAGTTTCCTCAGTACACTTACACTAGCAATGCATTACTCTGCAGTCTCTGTCTCAGCCACACAAATTCTCTGTATCTTCTTCGTACGCAGGATGTTTTCATTGTAAAACACATGCTATTAGTCTGTACAGATAAAGAAAAAGTGAGCCTCTTCGGAGGGAAAAGGCTTACCTTCCATCTGTAGCACATAAGATGATCCCAACATTCGCTCTAAGTAAGGTGCAAACCACCAAAAATATATTTACACTGACACTTGCAATCAGAAATCCTGCATGTAACTCACCAACATCTCAGCCCTGAAGACAGCTAGAATGACGTGAATGAGCGGTGACATTCACCCTCCACACCCTGGGTCCTGAGGAGCTTCCCATTCACCTGATTATGAATATTGCTTTCAAGGATGAATCGTGAAAAATAAATCCAAAAACACAAAGGTAGGAAGAGCTCAAGGTCAGCCACTGCATTTCATGTGTGTGTGAAGGGGTGGCAGTTACCAGGAATCAAACTCAGGACCTTGCGCTTGCCAGGCAGGCACTGCGCCACAGAGCTATATCCCTGGCCCCATCCTCTGCATTTTAACACCATCAATATTGAGGGAAGTCTTTCCTACTCCAGACGGCTTCCTGTGGCTCTTCACTGCACCTCAGAAGTCTTCTCCTCAACATGAGTGTCCCTACGGATTATGCAGCCAGAGTCCCGAAATCACTGCTCAGCTGAAGAACAGCACTCCCCGCCTCTCCCAGGTGGGACAGGAAGGTACAACAGGGATGAACTTGTGGATATGTATGTCAGAAGGCTGCAAGATCAACAGCAAGCACTTGGTAAGTGCTACTTATTAATATTATTAGTTATTACTGTGGGATTCCCTGCAGCTACCCTGTGACAGATTTGGAAAAAGGCACTTCTAAGCTAAGTCATAATGCTTCTCCTTTGGTTAAACAGAAGATGGGTAAATACTCTTTGTGTAAAATCAGCAACTGGCAAATGTTTACGTCTCTGGTTTCAAAAAAACTAAATGATCTCTATTCTGTGCTTTTCTGAAATTCTACTGCATAATCTTTACATTGCCAAATGAGAAAACTTTTGCCACTAAAATTTGTCTTATTTCAAAAATTACCCTCCCAATTAGTAAACTCAGTCACTGTTTTTCTTGGGAAACCCAGAGATTATGTTCATTAGTTTTTAAACTGTTCCCATAAAATCTACGGCACAGTTCCTGGTATTTCTAAAGTTCAGAAAACCGCAGGATGCAGAGAGGTTAAGAGACTCCCCTCCAAAGCAGCCAGTGGTCTAAATCCATCTCTGATGATACAGTAGCAAAAAACCCTGCTAGGAATCTAAGGCACAGGAACAAATTCTGTGGATTTCTGGCCTCTTCTAATGTGCTCCATGGGGACAACCCAGCAGGCTGAGCTACACCAGAATTAGTGCCCTAACGAGGCCTGGGCAGGTGTCCTCTTAGGATTCTCTCCCCAGAGAGCACCAGGCCACTGCAGGGACTCCTGACACCTCCCACCGGGGCTCGGTCAGTGTAAACCCCCTCAATTTCTCTTCTCACTCACGATCACTGTGGACATCCATAGAGAATGATCCACTCAACATCACCAAAATAAGGTCCAGGTCTGAGTTTTTCCTTCACAAGACAGGCTCAGGACAATATAGATGGCGGTCTACACAGCTCTTTCTCTAGTTTAAACTTCCAAGTAAGTATCAAGATTTCTGAGTTAGGTGCTATTATTTCCCTTGAGGTTAATTTAAATGAGTTAATCACCAGCTTCTCTGCCTGCAAACCCAAGCACAGCATCTAACAGAGGCCATCTAGAACTCTCTAGCTCCACCATCCACTTCTAATTTTACAACAGGTGGATGCCCCTTCAGGAACAGGCTGTGCTGAGTCCCTCGCCGATGAAGTTCTTCTAAGGCTATTTGTTTCTGCTACCCGAGCCAAGATTTATTCACTGTCAACTTATCAGCATTGCAGAGAAATGCCAGAATACCACCAAGTAATATCTGTGCAGCCTCTTGTCTCTGGCTGTAGACAGAGATTTCTGAATTTCTGTCATGGTATTTATTAGCAAAGAAGAATGTATACTCTCATTATCTCTTAAGAATAATTACATTTCAAGCCTCCCATACAGTGAGTGATATGGGTTCATAATTTTTTAAGAGCAGTTAACAAGCAACTACAGAGTTTCAGTTTACTTCATATGCTTATTCTTATGTGCTCATAATATTCTACACAGATTGCAGCGCTGATGTAAGTTTATGAGTAAAACCGAAACAAAATAAAAATATACAGCTAATATACGTATTAGCAATGGCCTATAATATAATCATCATCATCATCAAAAAAAGAATCCTGAGCTTTATTTGTTTTATGTCTAAATTGAGGAATCTTAAAAGAAAAAAGTTTTTATGACTATGTTTGGCTGACCAATATGCCAACGTAGGGATCTACAGCGTGAGATTAAATGATGGCTACATTTTACTTCCGATGTGCTGTGTAGTCTCAGATAAATTCTGAGCCAGTTTCTATGCTCCCAAGAGAAGTCTAGATTAAATAAGAGGGGGCAGGTGACTACCTTTAAGATCAAGGAGCAATAAACTGTAGCTCATGGGCCGGATCCAGCCTGCCACCTGTCTTTGCATAGTTTCATAAGGCTTGATTCTGTCCATGCTTTCATGTATTGTCTATGGCTGCTCTCGGCTTACAACAGAACTGAGTGCGGGGCTGGGGATTTAGCTCAGCGGCACAGCGCCCACCTGGCAAGCGAGAGGTCATGAGTTCGATTCCCGGAACCGGGGAAAAAAAGAAAGAGAGAGCGAGAACTGAGTGCTATAACAAAGATGTGTACGCCCCAAAGCTGGACATATTTATTACCCAGCCCCGTATGGGAAAAGTTTGCTGACCCTTGTTCAAGATGAGCACAGAAGGCCACACACCACAAAAAACTGTCCATGAGATTATGATAGTATTTCAAAATCAGGTGTACCATTTCCAGTTGCTTGCTCCTGGAAATTACTAAATTACTAAAAATCTAGACTAAAGCAAATTAATTGCACATATTAAACTTCCTACTTTGTGAGTCTATGTATAAAAAGGTATATATCCTTTTTCCTGAGAATTCTATATTCTCTCAAACTTTATATTTATCAGGCACTATATAATCCAGGAATATAACAGATATGTTATAACAGATTATAAAGAAATATCATTAGAGAGTTATACTCTGTAAGCATGAATTTTAGATGTAATCACATCTTCACACATGAAGACAATAAACATTAAAATATTAATATTAAAAAAGTGTAAGCGTTTCAAATAAGTAGTTTTTCAACTCTAGGAACCTCACTGCTTTCATTTCAGATACAAGCTTCATTTCAGATACAAGCATTTTCACTGCTTCATTTCAGATACAAGCATTAACACTCTCATCATTCAAATTAAATTCTTTGAATTTGGAAAACTTTTCAATTTTAAGTATATCATAGCATCCAATAAAATATCTGCTACTAAAAGGTCCTATAATTTCCACTGCATACTTACATGAATACATGAATACTTACATGAATACTACCAACTGCATACTTACATGAATGCATATCTCATAGTCGATATAAGAATGCCAAAAGTCTTCCTTCTGAATCCTAGGATCTCGGACCCAGACACTTACAAATTCCTGTAAGGGCATCGTAAACAAAGAAAATCGTTTCAGAATTGCAAGTAAGGCTGCAAGAGCAGAAGGAAATGACTGGCCTAGAACAAAACTGCAATGCGCTTTAGCTAGTGTGGTTGCAATCCTTTAAAAAACAAGAAGTTAATGAATCAGGCACCATGAGCAAGTCCAGAAAACACTTCTGGCCACAAACGGAATTTTAAAATAACGCAAAACTGAGCTGGACATGCTTAATTTGCTCTAAAACTGATGTCTACTTTTGAATCATGAAAAATAAGTTCACCTCTTTCTCAAATTTTAAATGAAGTTATCTCTCACTTTCATCATCTCTAAATCAAAACAACAGGCCCTGCCTGGCATATTGCTTTGTAGAAGACAAGGAAGGGGGACAAAGACCCTGTGAAAAGTAAGCCATGGAGGGTGAAACTGCCTGTGTGCGCGGCCCGGCCTCATGCGAATATGCGGTGGGAACTTCTCCACAGAAGGTGGACTCCTTCTTTCATACAATACTTTTCTGTCTTAATAATATTTCTCAAATATTATATCATTTCATCTTCATACCTTTGTGTTTCAGGTAAACGTTAGAGATGTTTAAAAAACATACACCGTGGACACTTTCTGTTCCTTTTTAAAGATGGTAAGATTAGGAAACATGATGTAACACTGAAAACAATGCTTTTCAGAAGGTGCTCTTTACTAAACAGGCTCAGTCTGAAAATATGGAAACAGGTTACAGCAAAAGGTAAGACACTTGGAATGATAAATTTTAATGTGTAACTTGTTCCCTCAGAGATCGAACTTTGCTAACTGAATTTACTTTTAAATATTTTCATTTTTTGTTGAGACTAGGGCATCAGGCTGAAATGCAGCCATCTCTGAGGGGCAGGCTGCGTCCAGATCCAAGCACCTGCTCTTAGCCTGTGCTTTCCACCTCAGCCTCCTGTAACTGTATTTTATTTTCTTATAGTACCTGTTCTTATACTACCTGTTCTTATAGTACCTGTTTCTTATAGTACTTGTTCCAAAACAGAACAGCAAGAAAGACCGTACATCTTCTGCACAGAGCACCTCCACTTTGTTATGTAGATAATCAAATCAAAGTTTTCAGTAGAAAGCATATTTTTTAAAGCAAAAAAGTAGTCCACGGTCCCTGAAAATAACTGCAATTTTCACTTCTAAGACAACCTTACGCTTTGTTCTTGCCTTTGAGACTTCTGTCCCGTTGTTTGCCCTCGGTACATAAGGATAATGGCCCCAAAGGCTTAATTTTAAGTCTTTTTATTGTGTATTTTTAAAATTGTTTCTTAAGGCTAGCTAAGGGCGAAGCTCAGTGCTAGAACACGTGACTTGCATGCACAAGGCCCAGAGTTCCATTCCCAGCACAGCAAAAAAAAAAAAAAAAATGACTTGTCAGAGAGAAAGAGAGAATAAAAATAACAATACAGCAATGCTCTAAACATTTTGGCCACAGTCCCTTAAAAATAATTCTAAATTGTAAGAGTGACTATAAAAACAATTTTTAAATCAAGGTATCCATAACATCCCCTACTGAAAGTTAGTGTGACTAGGTTGGGGACAAAGTAGATCCTGCCTAAGGAAATAAGCAGAAATAAAATCCACACACTCTGATCTTAGTTTATGCTTTTTACTTCAGTCTTCTGTGTGTGTGTGTGTGTGTGTGTGTAACTCATTTTCCTGTAATACTTTTCACATAACACATTTCTTTTAAGGAACCAATCAATTATCAATAAATCAATGAACAGAGTTAAAAATAGGCTCAGAAGAAAAGAGAACAAATCTATAGTAGACCACATGTCTGCCCCTTCCTCCAGCCCTACACACACACTTGAGCTACATTCTGACCTTCACAGGCCTTAGATATTTTTGCTTTCATTGGTACTTTCCCCCCAAAAAATATATAAAATTGTACTTTATAACTCTTTATAACTACTAGTATAAAGGTAAATATATTAATAGGCACAGTAAAGCCATTCTTTGAAGTAAAAATTAATTCTTCTAATTTTAAAAGGAATTAAAACATTTTCATGGGGCCCTAAATGTAGTGTGAGCTCCAGGCACTGTTCCTAATGGAGGACAGGGGGAGGCGGGGGGCAGTGCTGTCGCCAGCTCACATGGAAGCCACACTCCCTCAGAGGGTGTTGGCAGGGCCACATTCCACTGAAGAGGCAGAAGGTCTTGGATACACCAAACAGGGAGATTTAGCAGCTCAGAGTTTAACATCAACAGCAGAAAGAAGATATGCACCCATTATTGAAATAGTGGCCTTCATACAGACTAAACAAAAATGAAAAATCAGAGAAACACATTTGTTATTTGGGTACAGATTTAAGGTTTTTTTAAAAAGGTTTCTGAACAAAACCTGTAAAATCCAGTTATTACAATGCTATATACCCTGCCTACACAAGACTCAGTATCACTAATCCGTGACGGCAGGAATGACAAACAGTTCTGGTCGGGGGAGGGCTTTTTTCCCCTACTGTCCCATTCTTTTTTTTCTTTTTTTCTTTTGGAGACAGGTCTCACTATGCAGTTCATAGTGGCCTTGAACTCACTACGTAGCTGAGGCTGGCCTCAAACGAGCAGTGACCTTCCCGAGTGCTGGGATGACAGGCGTGTACCACCATGCCCGGGTTACTGTCCCCATTCTCAGCATATAAACTGAAGAGTATGTCCTTTTTCACAGAAAAAGCACTGAATTTCTGGTCATGAGACTAGAAGTAACTTCTGGCTCATCCACCTCCTAAATTATTAACTTCAGTTTCTATATCTGACCGAGAACTTGAGATTTACCTTCTTGAGAATCACCTACAAATTCCCTCTGCTACTGCCCTGGTTCAAGTCCCTCTTGCCCAACACTGATGTAGGAGCCACTAATTGATCTCCAGGCTCATATCCAGTGCATCCCCCACAGTGAGTCAAGAATTACTTCAAAACACACATCCAGTGTCACTTCCCTGTATAAAATTCACCAAAGGCTTCCTAGTAATCTTGCAGACGAAGTTCAAACTCCTTGGCTAGCACAACACAGCCTGTCATGATTGTCACCGTACTTATGGAGGGCGGGGGGGGGGGGGGCTTGCATTCCACACACAGCTCGCAACTTTACACCTCATGCCTTTGAACCCACCGTCCTGTCTGCCTGGAGTGCTGTCCCCAACCTACTCTCTTCTCCTTTTCCTCCTCCTCCTTCCTCTTCCTCTTCTTCTTCTTCCCCACCCTCTTCTCTCTTACTACTTTTCGCAAACTGCAATTGATTGTTCAATACAACTCAGTCCGTGCTCCTTCTGGAAACCCTGCTCTGCTTCACCTGGTTTATTTGCCCCTCCGCTGCGCCCCCGAAGCCTCCTGGCTGGGCCCAGTCCCTGCTCGCCACACTCACCGCCCTGGTAGAGCTAAGATCACCTGTCGGCCTCTCTTCCAGACGCCACACTCCGCCCTGACAGGGCGGCGCAGGCTGACTGGGGAGACCAGAGCGCACGCCTCGGTAACAGCAGCTAATGCACAAACGAATCCCCGTGGGAATGAACAAACCACCTTTGGGGAAGAAAAAAAGTACAAAGTTAAAGCTCACCTCAAGTAAAACCCGCATCCACGTGGGCTGCTGGACCCCACGTATTAACGATAAGTTATTTCGCAGCTGGTCTAATGTTTATCTTAATTTAACCAACCCCTTCCACGAAAGGTGTGCCAATTTACAGCAGAGGCTACCCAGGCTGCGCTTCAGATCCATGGGCGCAAACTGTTTCTGAGCACCCTAAAGAACTCCAGAAGTGCCTATTTATATAGAAATGATTGAAAATCATTCCGATGGCTTCAATAACTTAGTCCCCAAAGTCTTGGATCAGGCAACAATTTGTTAGCCTAGTTGGAGCTAAAATATGTACTTGAACGCAATAAAAGTACCTTTATTTTAAAATATTCTGTAATTCAGATAGGCCTCCCCTCCTCTCCCCTGCAATTAGTAGGAATTAGTGAAGTTTCACCACACTTCCAGCTACGAACAGCTTGCCAGGTGGCCGAGGTTCACCTATAATCTCTTAATTAGACGCATCCCTCACGACCTACCCACCATCCTTCAAGGCAGTGTTGACAGCCTGTCAGCCACAGAGGGACAACCCCAGAGTTCCACACCTAGAATCATATGGATTTCCTATGGAAATGGCTTCTGCAGCCGCAGTTAGTCAATTTAATAACCTTATTAAACACTTTAATGACTTCTCAGGGCTAATGACTATATCTAGTATGAGAGAAAACACCAGGCAGGATGAATTAAAAATTTAACTAGCTGATCCTTCCTGTTCTCCGTGTGAACACAGGCTTTCTAAGGAAGGGAGAGTCTTAGCCTCTGGGAAAATCTCATTCTTAGGTTTTCTACAGCTACCCGCTCTCTGATTTCAGTGGCCCCTCCACAAGCCCCCGTCCGGGCCCACCTTTTAGCTATTTCTAGCTCCCCTCCCCTTGTCTCTGACATGAGATGAAATCAACTTAGAAATCACTGTACCTGTATGGGACACTGGCATGTGCCAGGCACTGTGCTGTTTCACATATTTTCCTTTCATCTTTACAACAATCCTAAGAACAAGGTAACCTTTTCATCTCAATTTTACAGATAATAAAAATGAGGCTTCTGGGGTTGGGGATTTAGCTCAGCGGCAAAGCGCTTGCCTGGCAAGCGGAAGGTCGTGAGTTCGGTTCCCGGTACCAGAGGAAAAAAAAAAAAAAAATGAGGCTTCTAAAGCTTCAGCAACTGGCCCAAAGTCAACTGACCAGTAAAGCAGAGCTGGATTTCAGACTCGGGTTTGCCTTGTTCAGAGCCTGTCCTTGCAACTGTGTGCTCTCTGGTGGATATGTTAGCAACAGTAACTACGACACAATGTCCAGTTGGACGATGGTTGCTTTATTTTGGAGGGAGGAGATCACCTACTTGGCTGTTAGGTAAAATACCAGCTTAAGCAACATTCTTTTGTGAAACTGTGTCCCTCCCATTCAGGACACCACATTACAGTCCTGGTATCTACTCAGGTTCCTATAGTCATGACACTTCCTCAGACTTCTCTTGTTTTTGATGACCTGGATGATTCTGAAGAGAACTAGTCAGGTGTTTAGTATAATGTCCCCTGTGAGGATGTGTCTGGTGTTTGTCTCAGGATCAGACTACGGTTTTAAGTGTTTGGAAGAAAGATCATAGGTGCTACACTATGACATCCCATCAAGGGGCCATGCTTCCCCCAGCACTTTCTACTGCTGATGTTAAGTCTGATCACCAGGCTGAGGTAGTATCTGTAAAATTTCTCCACTATAAAGTCACTCTTTTTTCATTTCTTAACATATGTGGAGATAAATTTATGTTCCCTAATTTTTCTTAAGCTACTTCTAATTTAATCATAGTTTGCAAATGTATCTTGAAATGTATCTGAACATTAAGCTGGAAGAGTCAGATATTAAACTATAAATTCTAAGATCTCAATTTTCTAAAACTGACATACATATATGTATAGAAAAAGACTAGAGGGCAAGAGCCCAAATTTTATTCTTTCCTTAATACTTTTCCCAAAATGTTCCACAGTGAACAAATCTTTTAAATCCAGAAGAAGGAACAAGAATGGGGTGGGGACATGGGAGTGAGGAGGTGGAGTTTTTCTTTGAGGCTGGCTGGGGAAAAACAGTCCTTGGGTAACTGTAACATAAATGCTGCGCTCAGAATGACAGCAGCATTCTCTGAAGCCTGCTGTATGCTCTGGGGTATTCCTAGCTGCTTTTCTTTTCTTATAGAAGAATGTAAATTCCCTCCTGTGAAACCATGCTCTTTTTTTTTAACTTAAAAACTGAGTATCATATCAGAAACTGAAAACACGAAGAAGAGGGGGAGAAAAACATCAAATTTAGACTTTAGGGAGTGAGAGTGGGATTCTTTAGCTTTTAGTCTGTTTTGGTTGTGTGAGTGTGTGTGTGTGTGTGTGTACAAGGACCAAACGCAAGGCATAACCCATGCTTAGCAAGTGCTCTGCCACTGAACTACGTCCCCAGCCCCTTGAAAGAGTATTTTGCCTTGTTTTGTTCCCAATGTCACAAGGCACCAGGTGATACTCTATTTATTCTTTAGAGATGTTCATGCTTCCAGCCCAGTCAGTTTCAATCAGTACTTCAATGCAGCTCAGTGGTAGAGCATTTGCATAACATCCCTGGAATTGATCCCCAACAGTGCAAAACCAAAAACAAAAAGCCCCATGCTTTCCTAGAGCAAGCTGGCAACATGACCATCGGTCAGCATCAGTGCATCTTGAACACGTGACTATTCCCCCTAGAGTCTACTCATCTAGAATGGCAACGCGTGCCTCCCGTCCCCCCTGCAGCGCCCTGTCTTCTCCCTCAGTGGCAGGATCCGTCCTGGCAGTGCATGGAACAATCCAGGGCCCACGTGGGCCTGCTCTACAGGAATCCTCTGCTGAGAGACTGATGGATTTATTGTCACTTGGGTACCCAGGTAGCTGCCTGGGAGTTGCTGTTGTCTCCAGTACAGGCTGTGTACATTTGGAAGGGGAAAAAAGACTCTTATTCCCAGAAGTATAAATCTCTAAAGGAAGAATGTGGCCACCATGGTCCAAGACAGCAGGGAAGCTCACCCCCCATAAATACAGACACAGACAAAAGGGGTTCACCCACCCTTCAGTCCACCCACGGTGGGAGGCTCCACTTACACCAAGAGCCAGGGAACAAGCCTGGGTCTTTATGGAGGGAGGAGCATGAGGTTCAGTGCCCGGATGTCAGTCTGTCCTGCAGGTGCAAGCTGCTTATTCACATACCACAGAAAACGGGTTTCAGTGAGGCTGGGAACAAGGGCCCTTAGTGGTGCAGAGAAATAGAAGTGCTCATTCTGGACATTAAAATATAAAAAGAGCAAAAATGTCTGACTCCTCAAAAGACACTGTCTGAATTGTGTTTCCTGTCACAGCCACCTGCCTTTCCATTTGGATTCGGGGTTCTGTCTCATTAAACACAAAAGTTGATTCAGTTGGGTCCATCTAATTATTCTTATTAAATATGTAACCATAATATTTTAATTGTAAATTAAAGTTGCATGCATGAATGAATCTGAATTCATTTTAATTTTACAATGGCCCAATGCCAAGGCCTTTTTATGGAGAAGATCCATCAGCCTGGATACTGCTCTCCTGGGAATTCAAACCAATATGCAAATGGAACATGTTTAACTAACAAGGGAGACTCTCGGTCCCTTTTCTCCTCTCACTAGATTTATTATAGTAATAAAGCTGTTTTAACAAGAAACACTGCATTTCCCAAATCTAAAAATGGTTAGGGAAAAAAAAATTTTGCCAAACTTTTAGGCTGGCACTACCAGTTCTGTAGAACCAACATGTCATTCCAGGCCATCTTAATCTTGCACAAAGATGGCAAGTAGGTCTTAAATCACATGCTGCCCTCATGACTAATCAGTGATGTCTGCTACGTCCATGAGGAAAGTACTTACACAAACGCTGCACCTCGGTCTACATTCTAAAGCAATCAGGGATGTTGCACTTGACCCTTACTTGCATGAGTAAGTGAAACCACACTTATTTTCCAGTAACCAACAACCATCCACGAGGCCATTGAAAGGCTCAATAAAACTTCCCCTAACTGGCATTAACTACAGAGTGTTTTGCAGGTAAATAAGGACATAAAAGTACCTTTAATAAGTGAGGCTGTAGAAAGCCTCTTCTTGCTTCTACACTGAGGCCTACAGAGGAGGAGCACTGGCCAACCGACACACTGAGAAGGCTAAGGGAAGACGTGACTGCACTGGGGAAGTCCAGGGCTCAAGAGCGCATCAAGAACTCAAGGCTCCACTGAGCTCAGATTGAGCAAGAAGCGCCCTGGTGTAGTGCCAGGGAGCAAGACGCAGGTCTGGAGAAAGAAGCAGATTTCAGCTCTGCAGGGCCCCAAAAGCAAATGAAAGAGTTGCAACTCAGTTCTGAGGGCAGCAGATTAGAAGGAAGATCATTCTGGATGTAGAAGATGGACAGAGTGGGAATAAACAGTCCTGTATTCCACTATACCCAGGATGACTGTTTATGCTATGTTTATTTCTGGCTGACACAGGCTAACGTAAATTTTTCAACATTACACTTGTATTTGCAGTATTTTTTTTGCTTTTCCATAAAGGACTTTTAAGCTTAAAACTCTTTCATGCTAAAATATCGTTCAATAAATTATTTATAAGAAAGGACAATTTCAAAGTCAATACATGCTTTCTTCATGTATTGAAGCTGGTTAAAATTAGTGTCTAGGTTTTTGCCATTAAAATGAATTTATAATAAATCAAATGATTAAACCAACAAAGAGAGCTGCTTTTTTTTCTCAGTATGGGGGACTAAACGGGGGTATGCAGGTACAGGGGATTAAACACAAGACTTTCACACTGACCTACATCCCGTCTTTTTTATTTTTCATTTTGAGGCAGTATCTCACTAGGTTGCTAAGTTGCACACCCTGGGCTTAAACTTGTGATCCTCCTGCCTCAGCTTCCCAGTGCTGGGCTTGCAGACCTGGCTAAAAGCTTCGTATAATTTGAGAAAAAGCCTTTGTTGCTTTCAGGGAAGTCATCCCATCTCCACCTCTCAAGAGGAAAACTTTCACATGTGACTTTGGAACAGTGCAGAGTGGGTGGAACCCACCCTAGAGTGTCAGGCCCATTCAGCTGTGTAATGAAAAATTCGCCCTACTCAAAGGGAGGTTTGGACTTTGCCCTTGGCAACTGGGGCTGCTGGGTCTCTAGGTCTGGAACATCCTGCCTGAATAGCCTCATTTCCCTGAGCCTTTGGGCACTGGTCAATCTAACAAGACTCTCATGGGCACTTTGGGCCACACTGGGCCTATTCTGGCCCCCAGAAGAAATGGAGACTAAAGTTAAAATTAGTTAGCTGTACATTCCACAGCTGTACATTCCGCATCCACAGGGTCAACCAAGCACGCATTGAAAATACTGGAACAAGAAAAACTTGCCTCTGTACTAAACATGTACAGATTTTTCTTTCTGCCCCTTCTTCCCCACACAACACAATGTAACAACTATTTACACAGCATTTGCATTGCATTTGGGCATCATACTGCGGAGCTTGATGCAACTACTATGCCTTTTTACATAAAGGACTTCAGCATCTTCAGATTTGGGTATCCATGGGTGGTTCCTGGAATCCATCGCCTGTGGACACCAACGAACAACTGTACTAGGTGAGCTCCTACAAGGAAGCCCAAGAAATTAGGTTTGGGGGCAGGGACACTGCAGTCAGGAAAGCACAGCCTTTGCCAGATTGTGTGGAAGAAAATCCCAGAGACCCAGGAGACAACAAGCGAGCAAAAGTGACACTCGTGGCAGTTTTTCCCGCTTGTCACCCAAGAGTGGGAAAACTCGAGGAGGAGTCAATGGAAGAGAAAGCAGACCAGAGGGAGAAGATTCAAGAAAGGCTGAGAAAATATGAGTCACAGGAAGAGATGCTTTTGACAAGGAGTGGGTGGCACAGTGCCCTCCCGCTAAGTCACTGGAACCGAAAAGGGAAGGCCACACATGCACCTATGAAAGGGGAGCGTGCCTAAGGGAGGGTATTCTGCTCTTCCTTCAGCTCACTCCTACAAGGCAATGAGTTTACAGTTAGTGAATGATTAGGAATCTGCAGTAAATACAAATGCATGGGTTATTTATACTTGGATTTGTGATGACGTACCTCTTTTTGTTGTTCTGGAAACATCTTCAGCACAGGATGTGATTAATCTGAAAAATAAGATGGCAGCACAAGGTGACTCAGGATCCCCACACTGGAGTGGACAGACCTCTCACTGCCTCCCGCAGCCCCTGGCCTGTGGATCTCTGCTCCTCCCTTGCTTTCTTCCACAGCTGAGCGGACCACCATGAGCATCAATCTATACCGGGCACTGGAGTGTGGGTCACTGTGCATCTAAGGCAGTTGGATAATGACATGCAGAGCCTTAAATTGCAGAGCCAGGCAGTCAGGCTGGAGCTGGGGGTTTAGGAAATCGGAGGAGGTTAGAAATGGAGATGTGAGACTCGGCATGGGGGTGCTATTGCCAGCAGTGAGACAGATGGGCACGGAAATGACACCCAGAGAAATTCCCCACCGGAAAAGCTGATAGGTTTACCAGAAGCTCAAACCTTCAAGGACAGGTCATCTTATGACACTTAAACTCTAGAGTCAAACAAGAGGTGGTAGGGCCATAGAGGTGTGACCTTGAGCTGTGACCTGCCAGTCAGTAGAGCCAGCCTGTCATTGATTCCAGGCCCTGCAAGTCCCCGGGGCTGTCCATTACAGACACTCACTGGAGTTAAAACCTGATCCCCACTAAGCAAACAAGCAAACATGCACACATACATAGAATTCCCTGCTATATGCACCCATATATATTCTTACAAGCTAATTATGACTGTGGCCTATTTGCCTTCACTTTGCTAAGTCCGAACCCATTCCCTGGATACTTATTAGCATTCACAAACATCTCCAAAGTCTCTACTAAATGTCTGTGGCAGTATAGAGAACACAAGGAAGTAAAACACAAGCTGTAACCTCCAGTCCCATGAGGGATCACTAGCAAGATAACCGACAGCTGACCCAAGAGGATTTCTGCAGAGGGCAGAAATCACACTCTGAGCAGCAGGCAGACGGGTTTCCAAGGGGCAGTTCCCTCCACATGGAGGAGTGGGGAGCTTCACAGAGAAGGCAGGGGAGGATGGGGGAATCTCACTATTCAAAAATGAGATGTACTGCTGGGATAACAGATGTATGACAGTGACAGGCACAAATGACAAAAGTTTGATATATAGTGAAGAGATGCCAGATCAACTAAGGGACAGAATTTTTGGAGGGGGTGGCTGAATTGTGGCAGCCAAAAAGACATGTCCACATCCACTTCCTGGGACCTGTGGGACTTTATTTGGAAAAGGGGTCTCTGGAAATGTAATTAAATCAAAGTTCTCCAAATGAGATCATCCTAGAACACTGCAGTAGACCCTAAATCCAATGACCAAAGTCTATATTTAAAAAAGAAAGAAGAGAAGAGCACCATGGAGACAGAGAAGGAGTGGCAAGCTACAAGCCACAGAACACAAGAAACTAGAAGAGGCGAGGAGGGAGCCTCCCCAAGAGTCCCCAGAGGGAACATGGCCGTGCTGACACCTTGACATTGGGCCATTCATCTCTAGAACTGTGACAGAATCAAGTTCTGTTGTTTTAAGGACCAAGTTTATGGTAATACAGGAAGCTAATACAGAAGGGATCTGTGGGGAGTAAGTGGGACAGACAGGTGGGGTTGCAACTGGGGATGGGGGAAGCTCTGCGTGCATTCACGCATTCAGTCAGTGTTGACGGAGCGCCTGTGAGGAGCCACATGCTGAGGACATACGTGGGTCACACGTGGGACAGCTGGTGGGGCACAGGGCAGACTCAGAGCTTTGGAGATGACTTCACAACTGCAATGTGGGGATGACCTGAAAGCACAGGGCACCCTGTGACAGGAATGGAAGAACACACAATGTCCATGAACCTTAAAGCCATTATACCAAGTGAAATAAGACAGTCACAAGAAACAAACACGGCACTAAGTGCCTACAGCAGTCAAATCTACAGACAGAGGAGAACGGTGGTGTCCAAAGGCTGCAGGGAGATGGGGAATAGGAAGTTGGTTGGTGGTTTGGTTTCAGTTTTATAAGAAGAGCGTTGTTGCGGCTGGTTGTTGTACAGTGTTGTTGTTGTTCGTATTATTCTCCTGTTTTCTCCTGATGAGTTGTTATGATAAGTTTTATGTTACGTGTATTTTACCAGAACTTTAAAAAAAAAATTTAAAGAGTGGGAGTACTCAGGAGGAAGGAGGCTGTACTGAGAAAGCAGCACCGAAGGTGGGGCCCAATGGACAGTGTCTTAGTCAAGAATGCAGAAGGAGGGAGACACGTTAGGCTGAGGGGTTAGCATGAGCAGGAGCAGCTCAGGTGCCCCATCATCAAGGAGCCCCGCATCAGACCAAGGTTGGACAGTGGGTTCCACCTTCCCACGATCTGTGCTCCACACAAAGCACATGCTGCATGTAGCTGAGCCTCTGCCCAACTGGATCCTGCCCCACTCCACTGTGCAACAATTGTATTTGCAAAGCATCAGTCACTCTGTTCCTGTCCTCTCACAATTCTGCCTCCAAAGAGGGCTACTGCTATCGTCTGAGTCTGAAGTGTTCCCAAAGGTCCATATGCTGACAGCTTGGTCCCCAGCCCATGGCATGGGGGAGGGAAACTGGAACCTTAGAAGCTGGAGTTAAGTAAATTAGGTTATTGGCAGGGACTGTGCCCTTGAAGGGGATATGGCACTCTGATTCCTCCTCTCTCACTCTTTCACTTCCCGGCCACCATGAAATGAGCAACATCCTCCCCCACATACCCCCGACCAGGATGTACTGCTTTGCCACAGGCCGAAAAGCACAAAGCCAGCTGACCATGGACTGAAACCGTGAGTCAAGATAAACCTTTCCTCCTTGTGAATTGTTTATTATCTCAGTTATTCTGTCACAGTAACAGAAAGCTGCCTAACCCTACTTTACAAGAAAGTTACCAGCAACAGTCACAGTATAAATGGGGGACAGGGTGTGAGGCAGGAGCACCATGGAACACTGTGGCGAGACGACCCAAGTGAGGGGTCGACTGGACAGCCTGGGTCTGTCTCAGAGGAATCCAAGAAAGTGAGGTGAGACAGGTGGCTGCTTCCTGGGACAGCAAGGAGCTGTGTTGATGTGAGGTCTCAGAAGCTTATCGCTACCCTTCAAGAAGGAAATCTCCCCTGCATGCAGGGTGAGAGATTTTAGATAGGACCCAGTGCTATCAAGGACCATGTGAGCTACTCCAGCACTTCTGAAAGATAATTCTGCCACGTGTTTCAAAAGCATTTTAAAATTGTTTATGTTCTTTAACCTAATAATATCTGAAAACTCAACCTTAAAAAAAAAAACCAATGCAATGATGAATGTCATCATTGTAAATATGTACTAATAAAAAATTTAAAAATTGGTGCAATATGTACAAAATATTTGTAAACAAAAGAATGTCCACAATGTACTATTAAAAAAAAAAAAAAATCAAAGGAGCCAGGAAGCATGGCGCACACCTATAATTCTGGTTACCTGGGAGACAGAAGCAGGAGGATCAGAAGTTTGACACCAGTCTGGGGAACTTAGCAAGGCCCTTTCTCAGAATAAAGAATAAAGGCCAGGCGTGATGGCTCGGGCCTGTAATCCCACCACTCGGGAGGCTGAGCCAGGAGAATCGCCACAAGTTCAAGGCTAGCCTGGCCTACAAAGTGATTTCAACCCCAGCCTGAACTACATAGTAAAACCCTGGTTCAAAAGGACAAAAGAAAAATAAATAAATAAATAAAAGGGGGTGAGGATTTGGCTCAGTGAGAGACCACTTGCCTAGCATGCATGGGACCTGGTTCAATCCCTAATACCACCACAAAAAAAAAAAAAAAATCAAAGAAAATAGAAATATAACTGTCCATAAATAAATTAGAAAAAATGAATTCTGGTGTACTTGATACTAGACTACCTTGTAGCCATTATAATTAGATTACAGAAGAATATCAAAGGGCTGAGGCTGTTTGAGAAGTGGTGAAGTGATTTCTTTTGTGGTGGGGGATCGGACCCAAGGCCTTTGCATTGAGGTACATTCCCAGCCCTTTGTATTTTTTATTTGGCTACAGGGTCTCACTAAGTCACTAAGCTGCCCAGGCTGGGCTCAAACTCGGAATTCTCCAGCCTCAGCCTCCCACAGTGCTGGGATTACAAGCACGTGCTATCACACTTGGCTGTTAAGTGACTTTTAAAAAGCACCTTTTTATTTCACTGCTTCATTATTTAAGAATTGGAGCCTATACAAGATGAAGTTAACAGTGGTTATCTCTGAGTGGCAGAATCATGACTGTTTATGTACTTCCTTCTTTTGGACACTTTTCCAAGATTACAATGCATTTGTTACTTGTAAAATCAGAAAAATGCACATTTTTTTTCACCGAAAGTAAAACCTAATGTGCGCAATCACTTTTATTGCCAACCCAAAGCTAAGTCAGTTTCATTCTTGCTGTACTCATTTCCTCCTACTTAAAAATCACTGACTTCTTACATTCATGTCTTAAAGAGCTGAAAAAACATCACAAGTCATGTATCAGATTACACGTTTACATATAGAATATATAAAGAACTCTTACTACTCAATAATAAATAAGTGAGATTTGTTTTAAATTCAAAGCTTAGGGCTAGTTTTTAGGAGGTATGATTGTCATTGTGAAACGAAAGGAAAATGCTCACAAGTAAAGGGCAACTGGGGTGTGGGAAAAGAGAAGGGAAAGAAGGGGAAACTATGTAAGTATTGTCTATACAGGATAGCTAACATAGTTGCACTACTGACTTTTATTGCTCTACAGAAAGGAACAGTTAATGATTACTTGTTTGATCAGTCTTGTATGTCTCTATTTGTTTTCCTGAAAAACCACTTTGAAGATATCAATAAGTAATACAACAACCATGGTTAATTTCATACCACTTTGTCTATAACTCTGTTTTGTTTGTATTGTTCATATGCTATTTTGTAAATGGATGTCTGCTGTTAATATGCTTTCCTTCTTTTATTTTTTAAAATAAAAAAAAAGTTAGGGGTAGTTTTGGTTTTTGGATTTGATTGTTCATTTGCTGTACTGAGGACTGAACCCAGGCATATTATATCCC